CAGACAATGAGCAAAGAGCACAGGTCCACACAGGAGACTATATTTTGGTGCTCGTCACTCCCATAATGCACTGCACAAAGCAACTGACTGTGGGTTTCCACCACACAGATTGTATAAGAGTGAATTTACTTTGCATATAATAAATTTTTGGTATAAAAAGGGTCATCACATAAGAGCAATTTGCGCATACAGAACCCACAAAGCAAAGGAGACCTGTATTTCTAAGGGGTCATCTTATATGTTGTGAGCTTGTTCCCTTTGATTTGCTTTTTCTCCCTAGTGTGAAAGCAGAATGTTTAATTTATCAGTTTGCCTTCATTTCAATGAAGCAAGGCACTAATGCAGTGTTGGTGGCAGCTCAAGGTTCTCCTCTAGCTTCTGAATATGGTACTAGCTGCTTTGCTTACAAAATGCAGCCTGAGTTCAAAGCTCAGATTTGGCTGCATCCAGTAGGACCACGGCAAAAATTGGGTGGGAGTGTGACCTTTCTGCTCCTTTAGCTTAGGGCTAGTTAGTGTCAACTGGTAACTGATATAACACACAGCAGCCTGTAAAAAAAATAAATAAAAATATAGCCCCCTTCTTACATCTGGGTGGAAGCCAGGTAGAAGTTTTCTGAACAGTTTTTATTGTAAGGTACTAAAACCAAGATGATTATCAAACATGGTGCCATGAGATCCTTCTAAGGGTGCCACACAATATTAGCACTATTGTTAGAGGTGCAAACATGTAGACACAATTAACAAGCTAAACCCAGAGAATCCACACTGTTAAAACCATTCTGAACTGATGCGGGCTTTCGGCATTCTTTGCAACAGAAGAATTGCTTTATTAAATATTTTCTGTAGTTAAAAATGAGTGAATTTTTTAATGGGGTGCTGCCAAATTCAGAGAACTTGTAGAAGGTGCTTTGAGTTGAAAAGGATGTTACACTAGTGGTTCTCCATCTGCTTTTCTTTCATGTACAGACTGGATTAGATGTGCTCAATTTCATCCCACCTAATACATCTTTCTCTGGAAATTGTGACAATTCCTCAGCCTTCTTGAACTTGACTTTTGGGAAAGCCAAGCTCATCTTCCACTTCATTCGGGTAAGAGTATTTGGCCACAGTATCTTGCACTGCTGTCAAGTAGTTCCAGGTTGAAATTACTCTGAACAAGGCCACATTTGGGAAAGCTTTCCCTTCCCCTTATCTTGCCATGAGAAAATGGCAGTCTTATGGGAAAGGGTGGGGGAATTCTCTAAGCTATACATTCTGGAGCCAATGAAACCAAGCAGGAGAGCTAGGGGTTATGTATGAGCTACTTAGCTTTAGAAATACCCCTTTCTAAAAATATTCCAAACCTCCCCACCATTTTCTTTTCCTCAAGAGCACTGACTAGACCAGGGGTGGGTGATTATTTTGGGCAGAGGGCTGCTTATTGAGTTTTGGCAAGCCATCGAGGACCACATGACAGGCAGCTTAGGGCAGATTAATATTACTTTTCTAAATTTTTTAGGGGCCCCACGGGCCAGATAGAATGGCCTGGCAGGCTGCATCAGGCCCCCGGACTGCATTTTGCCCGCCCCTGGCACTAGACGGTCACCCTCAATGCCAGTACTGTCAATGCCATTACTTTGAAACACTTACATTCAATAAAGCTTTCAGAGAATGATCCTGCACTAGCTGAGAGAGGATTGTGAATGCGTCTTTCAGCAAATCCCATGAAGGAAGGAACTGAATGAAGCCCTCATATTGCACACTGTTGAGCTACTCTGTGGTGTCTTCTGTGGCAGTTTACCATCTTGCCAGAAGCTGTATAGCTTTTATTTCCTTTGTAGCAACAACGTATGTCCATAATAGTTGATTCTCAGACTTCCCTCTTGAAAGGACTTCACCTGCAGCTGGCTTTGCTTGCTGACCCAAATAGTTGTGATTACCCTGAAATCTCCCAGTTGTCAGCTCTTCAAGGGACCTACTGAACATGTTTACATGAGACGCTAGAAGCGCAGTAGACTAATTCTAGTTCGCATTAGTGTGGCAGGTAAAAGCCACGCTAATGTGCAGTAGAATTAGTCTGCTGCCTATTAGTGTCACCTAAAATGCACGTGCTGATGCTGCTGTGCAGTTGTGCTGATTACTGCAGATTATTACAGGAACTAAATTAAATGCTCAGTAACCACTGCACATTAATGCATGTGTAGATGTACCTACTGACTCTTAAACTCAGCTTTAATTTAAGCCGGGTGTTCCCAGTGTGTCTAGGTATCACCTGCAGCCCCCTCTCTTTTTTGGAGCAGCCAATGACCCAGAACTGCCCCTTTTTGAAATGGCCCTTCAGGGGCAATGCTTTGGGAACCACTGATATAAGCCTTAACTGTGCAGGTTTCACAGCCTGCATGCATTAGAGCATGGCTGTCAAATTCATGAGGCCCTGCAGGCCAGGTGAGGGGTGCAGGGCTAGTCTGCAGACTGGCCCCACATGCTGCAGATCCAAGATGCATGCGCACAATGGGCCAAATAATAGGTTTACCTCCGTGGACTGCATTTCTTGACACCCTGCATTAGAGGGATCCTACCACTATCACAGGAAGAGCATTGTGCCTTTTGTTAAACAAGGCAAGTACACTGCAGCTAACCACTGCATGATCTGGAGATAAGCACAGAGGCCTTGTCTTCTTTACCAGTTCTGCTAGTGGAGCTGTCACAGAGATAGAGGGGGTGTGGGAAGATAATGTTTCATGACTGACTTCTCTGCCCCGGCCAGGGGGTCAGCTGCTGTGATCCAGTTGCCACTTCAGACTGAGACCAAGTTGCCTTCTTTTTAACCTTTTATTGCCTTCTCTCCTGTCCCCAAAGCAAATTGTTCCTTCTCCCCACCATGGTTTTCTTCTCTAAAAATGTAGTTGGTGTCGTTCTAGAACATCCTTCCCTGCTGCAACACCTCGACTAGAGGATGCTTTGGAAACTTTTTCAACTAGTGCACTGAGCTAAGACCTAAATGGCTAGAATTAAGTTTGTTAAATGGTATTTTCAAAAGTCAAATAATTGCTTGTCTTTTTCTTTAAAGAACACAAGTATTGAGAAGTTTTTCCTGCAAGGTGTCACTGTGAACACAGCTTTGCCTCCTGAAGCCAAAAGTAAGGGTTTTTCAAATGTCTCATCTGAACTAGACTAACTGCATATCTAAGTCAGAGTGTCCAGATATAATGAAGACTGCAGTAGAAAGGGTGACGTGTATTTTCTTCCTTAACTACTAAGCCCTAAGGAATTAGCAGCATCAATTTTTGTTGCAAACAACTCTGTAACATGCTGTTCTCTATGCAGAACCACAGTTTGAAGCTGTGAACAACAGCATGAGTGAGCTTGGTGCTTCAGTGGGAAATTCCTATATGTGTCATGCAGAGGAGAATCTCTTGGTCACACAAGGAGCTTTTGTCAACCTGTTCAACGTTCAGGTCCAAGTTTTCGAGATTGATGGAGACAAATTTGGGGCAGGTAAGAGTTGCTCTGTCAGTAATAGGGCATACTTTAAGTATAAACTGCAAAATCATTCAGAGTTCTTAAGCTTTTACTAACTTAAGCATATGTTTACATCCTTCTTTCAAAGTTTCAAGCCTTTGACATTTTGGAGCCTATTCCATAATATCAATCTACTGAGCAGTAAGGCATCACTATGTAACCATGTGCAGCAGCTACTGCACAGTAGATTAGCCTAATGCAGAGTTTTCTACTACCTATAAATACAGGTAGATTAACTGCACAGTAGTGCATGTGTAGACAGCTGCCCAGAAGCATATTGATCCTGGTTAGCCTAGGCAGTAAGGGGGGGAGGGAAGTGTCCCCTCCCTGGGCAGCTGCCTCCCAGCCCTGATCAGACCAGGGTACAGGGCTGGGAAATTGTCCCTTCCCCCAGCAACTATTTCCCAGCCCTGTGCCCTGATCTGATTGGGATGTGGGGCTGGGAGGCAGCTGTTCCAGAGGCAGGACAGCTCCACCCACATCCCATCTTCCCCTCCCTATTCCTGAGCCCAGACCTGACTCCCATGCCCCCTGCTAGCCCGGGGCTGGCATCCAGAGGAGCCTGGAACTCCCTGTGGCTTCCGTAGGGAGCGCAGAGCAGGAATAGCTGAATTGCTTCACTGAATTGCTCACATTAGGATCAAATTTGCTCCTCATGGGTGCATGTGTAGACATGTTCCCAAGGAAAGTATACTGTGAAGTATTTTACTGTGCAGTAAGCTTACAGTGCATTAATTACATGTGTAGATGCTCCCATAGAGAGCAAGACTTAAGGCTCTGGATTAAGACTGGTGCACCAAGTACGTAAATACAGAGCTTTCCTTGAGATAACTAGTGCACAGTTGCTAGATGGTCCAGAAAACTCTTGTCTCCATTATATTTAATGGAAGAAACTCTTTTCTTAGAAGAGCTACATTCAGATGTTCTCCGTCTTGCTTTGAGAATCCCTCTTCCCTACAAATCTTAGACAGTAACAGTAAAGATCTGTAGGTGTGTGCATCCCAGCAGCTTTAAGTAGTGTCTTGCAAGTTCTTTCCTTGTGACTTTTTTCATATAAAAATAGTAGGAGGGGGAGTCTGCGTAGGGTAATGAGTGGGATTATATAGTTGGGAATAGTTGAACAGGGGCTTAGCTAAATGACCTCCTGAGGTCCCTTCCACCCCAATTTTTTATGGTTCCAATGGCTCTCTTAACATGTTGAAAGCGATGTAGGTAAATATATTATGTTGCATGTGCCTAACATGACCTTTCCCCCTCTCTCCCCAGTGGAAGAATGCCAGCTGGATGAAAACAACATGCTGATCCCTATCATAGTAGGTGCAGCTCTTGCTGGACTTGTCCTGATAGTCTTGATTGCTTATTTGATTGGCAGAAAGAGAAGCCATGCTGGATATCAGACAATTTAATGACTTGCACTTAAATTAATCTAATTAGATACAGAGCAGTTGCAAGAAGCAAATAAATTGTGTTCCCCTGCGTTAAGATTGGTATTATAAGGGAAAACAGCCTTTCCTGCAAAATGCTTCTTGTTAAGTCTGCCTTATTAAATGTGAAATCCATCTTGCAGCATTTAACTATGCACAAAGGAATAACTTCTGAAATTCTGGTGGCTAATTTTGCTAACTAGTTTAAACATTTACCCACTTAAAAACAAGCTGCAGCTTTTGAGGGTGTTTTTTGAAATGGACTGCATTAATGTCAGTTAAAGATTCCAGACTTGTGTGTAGTTAGTTCACATTCACTCAACTTCTGATTTTTATTAAGCCTAACAAAGGGAATATATTCACTCTGATACTACCATCCTGCGATGGAAGTTTAATTATACTGATTTAAAGTATAAGCAATGACTGACAACATGAAAATCTAAACCCCACCTTGTCTCCTAGGTGTGTATTTTTACTAAGCTTTAAACACAATGCAATACTCAAACCCTATAGGAACTCATTTACAATTGGACAACTCCCCTCTTTGGTACTTTTGATGCCCTGCCAGCTTGTTAGAAGCTGGCACTTTTTTAAATGTAAAAAAATGGGTGTTTATTTTTATTTACATTTTTTTGTAAAGTGAATTTCAGTCTCTTCTGTTGGAAGCTCCAGAGATCCTGTTTCTGCACATGTGTACAATATCGATCTCAATCTGCTGATTCTCTTGCTTTAACCTTGGCTGGGGGTTGTACACTTCAAGGATCAGTTCTGATGTATGCATTGCCTGTAACAATGCTAATAAAAACATCTTTTTTTTTTCTGTATATGATCTGTCACTACCTTGCTCTCTGCTATTTCCAGTCAAATAGCAAACTAAGCTTCCTGCACAACTGCACACTCTTAAACTAGGCCAGAAACTCTACAACTCTAAGCTCCTGGCAAGTAGGTCCTACTAGCTCAGAATGGGCAATTATTTGACAGGGTGCCACTTACTGGGTTTTAGCAAGCTGTTGAGGGCTGCATGGGTGCCCTGCCCTCTGGTCACCATCCTGACTGGAAGTTCCCACCCTCTAACCCCCAACCTTTGCCCCCTCCCCCCCAAATACTCCTTTCAGCAAGGGGTTTTGCCATCTCAAAACCAGAAAAACAAATTATATTCTAAAAATCAAACATCTACAATGTTCATTAATTTAATTTAAAAAAAATTGTTGTCCTGGTTTACATGTGTTTGAGTAGCGTACACAGAGGTGATTGCACAATAGCTTAAAATGAAGTTTTAAGTCTACAGTGGGGAGTGCATATAGGTTTGTGGGGAGGGTATAGATGTGGGTGTGTGGGGATCTGCATGTATGGTAGTGTAAGGGGGGTGTGGGTGCATGTGTATGGTGGGGTGTGCTTGTGGAACTTGCCCTATGAACACATGCATGCACTCTCTCATTGCATGCACACACATGCGTGCGTGCACCCCCTCCACAGTCCCATGTTCCCACAGCCCAGGACCATGTGGTGCTGGAGCAATGAAGCAGTGAAAGCTGGGGCATGCAAAGGCTTCTGGGGGGGGGGGGGTTGTGCAGGGGTGAGCTGGCCTTGCTCCTGAGTCTTGCTGACTTCCCCTGGATCCTACTGCCCCTGGCTCCTACCATCTTTGACAGGCAGCCAGGAGCAGATTTTAATTTTCTAAACTGTTTAGGTGCCCCACAGGCTGGATCGCATGGCCTGGCAGGCCAAATCCAGCCCACAGGCTGTATTTTGCCTGCCCTTGTACTAGCTTAATGCTAAAAAAAACAAGTTATAAAGTGCTGGTTTATTTTTCTCTCAACTCTTCTATCTTAAGCTGGGTTTATCCCAAGGACTACAGGTTGCCAACCCCTATGAAGCCTGTGGATCAGCCCTATAGAGCTGTGGCTTCAGCAGTGGAGGCAGCTGGGCTCTGGCAGAGGGGTCTTGTACTATGCTGCAGAACAGCTGAGCAGGAGTGTAAGTGAAAGTGACAGCAACCAGGTCCTAGTGCATACTCACCTCTGACCTGCACTGGGTTATTCCAGCTCAACCACAGCAAACTTGCTAACCCCTGCACTATCTGACTGGTCACACAACACCTTATTTCCAAGTAACACTGAAAGACTTAAAATTACTAATTTAAGAGGAGTAATGTAGCATTTTAATAGAGCTTAAGACTAATACCTGCTTGGGACTAGGTACAGATTTGTACAGTAAGTGTAAATGTATTAGATGCACACTAGTCAGACCTTGCTTAATCTTTTATTATGTCTTGGTTGCAAAGAACTGCCACTGTTGAAGGCCTGAGTCGCACAGAAACTTGGACAGAAGGAGAGCCAGGCTGTTGGTAACAGCTTGCTAAAACAGTTTTCCACCCCTGCTCCATCCCTCTGCCTCCTTCTGTTGGTTTTCATGTGAATTGCCTGAGTCCCCAAATCCTCCTGCATATGATTGATTCATCTCTTTCAGGAGCCTTGATTTACACAGGAGAAGAAGGATACTTGTGTCTGCAACATATTTGCCAAAGCAGTGGGAGTGGGGGCAGGGCAGGACAGGGCTGCCTTCACATACTGTAACGGTGTACTAACACTATTCTGGCTCCTATTTAATAGATGGTCAGGGCACTTAGTTGCAAACGGTAAGTTTTTTTGTGGCCAGTTCTTCAGACCATTCAAAGAAAAGCTTTGTGACACCCTTTCTGCTCCAACTTAGCCCACACTGATCCAGCTCAAAGAAAGAAGGGAGGAGGGGCAAGGAAATAAGTCTCAAACTTTACGGGGGGGGTGAGTGGAAAGAGAAGGGTTGGGGGGGGGGTTTCTATTGCCAGTATGACTGTGGGATTTACAGAGCCTAGCATAACTGTAGTGCAGGTCTCATAGCAGAGGCAAGGACCAGAGGGTTACAAAAAACAGAGAGGCTGGTACCTAATGATTGGCTGGATCTAGCTTTTAAAAAGGAAATGGAAAAGCTCAATTAACCTCAAGTAGTATTGCAGGATTGCTTCCCTGTTAAACATCCATGTTGATAGCAGAGGATTCAGTGGGTAAGAAATTCTAATTGTAGTAAAAGGGACAAGCTTCCAAAAAAAAAAAGATGTAAACAGCCAAAAGAAGAGGAACCACTTAGAGATAAAAACAAAGGAAGGATTTAAGTTTCTTCAGCTGTAGAATAACATGAAGGGCAATAACAAGGCCTGTTACACTTAAGAAGGATTATCATTAGTGGTACTAATGAGCAACAGTCAATGCATAATGGAAGGAAACTTGTCATTTAATCCATCCTGCTACAGCTGGACTGGAAATCTGGTTAAAGGTTGAAAGATTCAACTACATCACCCCATTCAGCTGCTGTGAGTAGAATAGACCCTCTAGTCCACAGCACTATTACAGAAAGCTCTGTACCCAGGTGCCCCCCACACACAAACCATACAGACACCCCCTCCTGCAGGTGTTTTACTGTCTCCTGGGAGCCCAGTATGGACTCTTGCATATCTAATAACTCTGCTCTGCCTTATTTTGGAGTGGGATCAGAATCCAGAATGAGAAGGATGGAAAGAGTCTGACCAGTAGCAGGCTCTAAAAGTACAAGGGATCAGACTGAGAAGAGGCTGGTGAGATGGATTGCTAGCAAAGGAAAACCACCAGGATGATAAGCCAGCAACTGCCACATCAGGAAAAGTAAGGAAAGATGCACATATTGGGTGGTAGTGCACTCAGGCCCAGCCTCAGCTTGCCACAGACTAGTGGAGTAGAGGAGGTAGCACCCTGGCTAGGAAGCCTGAGAAACCCCACAAGCTGGGCTTACTTGAATACCTCCATTCTGGACTGAGCAAAGATGCAGAACTAGGAGCACTGACCTACTGTGCCACTACCTTATTTACAGTAGTCCTGCTACAGCACTGCTCTGTACTAACCTCCAAAGAGCAGAGATGGAAGGACTGTAAAAGAAGCATCTCCCTGACCATAATTCCTTGTTTGTAGAGGTGCACCAATACATTGGTCCAATTGGATTGGCACTGATATAAAGAAAATTTACTGTATTGGCAGTCAGCTTTTTTTGCCTGATGTGGCCAATAAGTGCCCCATGCATGCACACAGCTGCAGCGCAGCACATAGGCAGCAAGGAGCACAGCCTGGCAGCTTGGAGAGCTGCATCCAGCTAGTAAGTCTGGTGTGGTGGAAGGGAAGGGGCATGGGGGGACAGATCGAGGCCCTTGCAGTGAGGGTGGGGATGGGGCAGGGTGGGGCCCAGGACAGCCACAGCTTGTCCAGGGGGTGGCTCCTGCATGCACCCCTGGGAGGGGATGGGGGGCATGTGCCCCTGGATCTTTGTATAGGGTGGGCTGCTGCAGGCTGGGGCTGGGGCAGTGCCCAGAAAAGGAACTGGGGAGGCTACAGTGAATTTTGGGGTGGCTGCTGCCCCCCCCCATAGCCTCACTCCCAAAGCAGACACTGCCTACCCAGAGCACAGCCCTGTCCAGCCTGCCCCCCACACAAATCTGGGGACACACTGCCCCCCCAGGGTGTGCGCAGTGGCAGAAGCCACCCCCCCCTCCCTACCCCCCCCGGACAAGCCACACACACACAAATATTTGTTTGCCTC